AAATTTAAAGATGGCCATTGTGAATTGTTGTGCAATCTTATGAATATATTTAATACCACAGAACTACACACTGAAAAATAGTCAAGATATTTAAGTTTTGTCACATGCATTTTACCACAATACAAATCAGGAAAAAAAATCAGTCAATGCAACTTATCATATCAACAAGTTTAGAAAGAAAAAATCACATGATCATCTCAAGAGATGCAAAAAAGGCTTTTTCCCCCCTTTGGTGGTACTGGGGTTTGAACTCAGAGACTTTTGCTTGCTAGGCAGGTGTTCTATCACTGGAGCCATGGTCCTTGCCACAGAAGACAACATTTTTCAAATCATACAATTCTCATAGTAATTCTCACGTATGTAGAATTAGAAGAGAACTTCCTTGACCTGGTAAAGGATATCTACAAAAAGCTTACAGCTAACATCATACTTAATGGTAAAAGACTGAAAGTGTTCCCCTTAAGATTAGGAACAAGACAAGAATGTCAGATTGCATCACTTTTGTTCAATGTTGTACTGGAGGATTTAGACAAAGAAGGAGTGAAGCAAGGAAGGAAGGGAGGGAGGGAAGAAGAGAAGAAGGGAGAGAAGGGGAGGGAAGAAGAGAAGAAGGGTGAGGAGAGGGAAGGAGGGAAGAAGCAGAGAGGGACATTTAAAACAAAGTTAAAATGCTGCAAGAAATTTTAACAGGAATAGGGAGGGTTTAATTAGTCCTCCTAGGCCAAAGAGTCTAAAATTCAATGATTTATTGAAATTTAGCTAGAGGCTAAAAAATGTTGAAAATGGAAAAAGAAAACCACCCATAACCTACTACCTCTCCACACCCAGTATTAAAATTTTGGATTATTTTTAATATGGCATTTTCAGTTTGGATATTTTCAATGTGGATTTGTGCTCAGTCCTCCTCAGTAAGATTCAGTACTTATGTTCACAACAGATGTTGACTAAATAGCTAGAGACAGGGAGGGATTATATTGAATTGCTTTTGATGCTTTTTCATATTTATAAAGCCAGTTTTTATTTAAGGCTGCATATCTGCATCTATTTACAGAAATGCCAATTTATATTCCTTCTATACTCTACAAAAATAATATAAAATATTTAATAAACATGAACATATTATAATCAAATACATATAATCCATAAACAAATTTATTGGTTGAAATACTACTCATTAGGTAAATGTCCATATACCTTGTACCTATCTTGAAAAATAGAACATGACCATAATTTGAGGCCTTCTTGTCACAGTGCTTTGCTCTACTATGCAGAGAGGAGCACTGTACTGTTTTATGTTAGTCGGTCTCTTAACTTTGTTTAGAACTTTACATCCTGTGATGATTAATTTTATGTGTTAACCTGACTAGGCTCACGTGCCCTGCTGTTTAGTCAAACTGTATAGTTGTTACTGTGAGGGTTTTCTCAGTTGTGATTAATATTTACCAGTAGACTTAGAGTAAACAAACTCCCCTCACAATGGGGTGGGCCTCATCCACTCCATTGAAGGCCTCAAGTAAAAAGAATAGCATCCTCAAAGAAGGAAGGAATTCTGCCTCCAGACTTCCTATGGACTGAAGACTGCAGCACCATCTCCTTCCTGGGTGTCCAGCCTGCCAACCTGCCCTGCAGGTCTGGGACTTTCCAGCCCCCACAATAGCAGGAGTCAACTCATTCCTGTCTTTGTCTTTCTCTCCAGGGTCTCACTGTTATAGTCTAGGCTGGCTTTGAACTTGGATTCCTTCTGCTCTAGTCTTCCAAGTGCTGTGATTGCAGGCATGCACCCAGCTCATCACATACTTAATAGCAGACTTCCATTTGTTCATAACAGAAGTCTTTGTTATTTTTGGGCCTTTCTGACTACATTTCAGAATCAGCTTATTAAATATTAGGAAAATTTCTAGTAAGATTTTGATTGGGATTGAAAGAATCTATAGACCAATTTGGGGAAATCACAATCTTTACAATATTTAATCTTTCCAGATGAATAATATGTGTATCCATTTATTTAGATCTTCTCTAAGGACCTTCCACATCATATAAAATGTTCTCCACAAACATCTTGCTTGCCTTTATCCTAGCTACCTTACTTTTGTTGTTTGGTTCTAAATGTAAACATCCCTTTAAAAATTAACTATGCTATATCCTGATTTTATAAATAGGAACTTTAGATTGCACTCTTAAATTTATGGAAAAAGAGTGTTTGAATTACTCTAAATATTTTTCTACATGATATCAATCCCTTACATGCATATAAGAGTAAAATATTATGAGTTTCTAAATATTTTACTAACTGAATTAATATCCCACTTATTTTTGAAACATAGAAAATGGAAAATTGTAGTTTATGCAAAAAAAAAGGAACAAGCTGTGTATGAACAGCTGAGTGAAAAGTTGACCTAAAAAGCTAGCCTGTATTTTTAAGCTTGAGATCATTGTCTATGCAATTCTGTGTAAAACCCTTTTTTTCTTCTTTTCTTCATCTTCTTTTTTAACACAGTAAAGGTTTGTATCACAAGTAAATGTTTGCTTTCCCTCTTGAGAATCTAACTAGATTAATATGTCTCTGCCTAGATATTAGAGATTTTTTTTGTAAGAATAAAATGGTCTGGCTTGGGATATCAAGTTGGGAAATAAGTATAGCAAGTTCTACATTACACAGAATTTGATGAAACACAGTATACTCAGGAGGGAATTTCATTTGTTGTACCTAGCATTTTTTCCCAACCACTTTGGTTCTCTAATATGGCAAACTATTGAGGTATTTACAAAAGGAGAAATCCTTCAGTCTATCAGGAGCTGAAACTCCACCCCATTCTTTGATGGATTTCACTCTAGATTGCCACAAGAGCCATTTTAACTCTGTACTTTACACACTAGGTTGTCTTAAGTGTCCTCAAATCCTTTGTGTTCAATTTTAGACATTTCCAATCAATCAGACCTATTGATTGCTTTATCTGGAGGCCAAAGGACACTGCATTTTTATTCTTCAACTCTCACATATGCGGTGACATCAAATGTCAGAAACATTCAATATTTATGCTTGAAAATATTACGTCTTTTTTCTAAGAAATAGTACTTAACCTATTTGCCACCGGATAGTATTCATCTACTTCTTTTTCAGTTTGTGGATCTTTCTTCATCCTTTTGGGCTTCCCTAACCCCCTCTCATCCCCCCACCTTTGTTTTTCTTAAACTTAAACTGAAAATATTCCCTTGAGGTTTGAGTTTTGTTCACTTGGGCTCTAATCTCATTAGACCTTCTTGCTGATTTCTAGAATTTCCTTTCTGCTCACATTAGCAACAAAATGTTACTATTGTTTCTATAAATAGTATAATATGAATTGATTTGGCTCTACAGGGACCAGAGAGAAAGATTTATTCATTTCCAAACATTTAAATTAGTGAAGTGCACTAATTTCAGTACTATTTGTTTCTTTGGGGTTTGTACCTATGTGAAGCAAAAAATGGTTTCATTGAAATGCAAAATATTCTAGGACAATTTATGAATCTGTGTGACTTCCTTGTGTGAATTGTTTCTTTTGGAGCATTCAGGGCTTTTTCTTTTACTTGTAAAAGTTTGAAATAGCATGAACTCCTGTGTGCTACTTTAATTGGCATTCTTTTATCATTTTGTATTGGCAAATTTGGCAAAATTTTTGGTCATTATTTCTTCAATTTTTTCCTGCCCCGTTCTCTTTCTTTTCTTTTTCTATTATCCCATTAGTGGCTAGGTTGGATTGCTTCACATCACCTGGCAAGTCTCTGAGGCTTTGCTCATTTTTTAAAGATATTTTCTGTTACTCACGTTGGATGATTGCTATTTCACTACCTCCAAGTTCACCTACTTCTTCCTTTGTTATTTCGTTTTGGCTGTTAAAATCTCCCAGTGAACTTTTTATTTTTGAAATTATAATCTTCAGTTACAGAATGTCCATTTGGGTTTTAAAGATTAAAAAAATTTTTTTTGCTCTGCTTGATAAGAACTTCCCCTTGTCACCATTCTGCAGCCTGAGCCGCAGCTGGTCTCATTCCTTGCAGAACAAAGCCTCACTATCCCTTATCTCCTGCCACCTACCTTTGCCTGTCCCTAGCCCTTGCTTTCTCCCAAATGCTACTTAAGGCCAGATCCGCCGAGAGAAGCTGCTGCGCCATTTTTTCTCGGCCAGCCACCCTGCTTATTAAACTTTTGGACATGAGATACCTCTCGTGAGCCTCCTTTGTGTGCTGTGTGCGGCGTTTTCCTAACAGTGCTGACATTTTTTTGTTTCAAAGTTTCATCCATTGAAAACATGTTCTGACTTTATCAAGGATAGTTATCATGGTCACATTAACATTCTTCTCTGTCAGTTTCAATAGTAGGTTCTTAGTCTATGGTGTTTGCACGTCGAAGGTCTATCCTGTCGGGAATTTAGGATTTTGAGAGTCATTTCTTGCCCTGGTTAATCTAACAGCCTCTCCCTGTTCCTACCCTTGCCCCCCTCCAGTCTAGTCTCAAGCCGGACTGATCCTATTAAAACGGAACGGGGCCCCCAGTGGCTTCTATTTCATCCATAGCTTACAATGCCCGACCTGCACGTCTGACGCCCCTCGTCCTTAGCTTCCAGGTCACAGGCTTAAGCTGATTTCCACCTGCCCTCTGTGGCCACCCATTTAACAACTCACATGTCCTCCGATCTTGAAAGGTGGGTCTACTCTAAAAATACGGCTCTAGTTTAAACGCTAGAGCCATATTTGAATGAGGCTTTTTCCTGTTCCCGGGGCGGGAAGGCCAAGAGGCCTTGAGTACCCCATTTTCTGGGGAGAAAACACTGCCTTGAGTCAGGCGGCTGGGCTCAGAGGACGACTCAACCTCGTTCAGTCTGCAGTCTGCTCAGAGCTGAACAAACCGCAGCAAACGAAACGCGAGGGCGTCCGCACAGGTGCACCCCTCGGTGTCCCGGCGAGCGGCGCACGGATGCGCTTCCCGCCCAGTGCGTGAGTCCCAGGCTCTCGCGGTCCGCGGCGGGAAGCGGAACTCCGGCGCGCGGGCCCTTGCTTCCGGTCGGACCCGGGTGGTGTTGCACCACAGGCGCGCGCGGCACGGGCCGGCATGGAGGAGCGGGCTGACTCCGAGCCGACCCCGGGCTGTAGCGGTGTGGCCCCGGGCGGCGTTCGCGGTGGCGGCGGCGCTCACGCGTGGGCCCCCGAGGACGCCTGGATGGGCACCCACCCTAAGGTCAGGAGGCGCGAGAGGAGCGGGGCGTCGGGCCCGGCCCCTACTTCGGGCGGAACTGCCGGCTGCGCTCCCTCTACGGGACCCGCACCGACCTCACCTGGGGACCCGTGCGGGACCCGTGCGCCCCGTGGCAGCCGTACGCAGTGTCATTTATTTTGTTTAATAAATGATTTGAACTTCAGCTCTGACACCTTTGCTGTCCCCCCACCAAAGCCATTCTTAAAAACCAGGGCAAAACATCAACCCTCCGTTTTCAATCTGACACCCCTAATTTAAGCACTCCTCTAACAACCTGTTTTGCTATCTTTCGTTACAGCATCCGTGCGAGGCAGTTCGTCCAGGATAAGATCTGGGAGTTCACAGTGATAGAAGTTTAGGCACAGTAGCTTTTGCACTTAGCCTTGGGCCCACCGTGTGCGTCTTAACTGTGCACAGGTTCAGAGTCTTTCATTTTTTAGATTTCTTGGAAAGTTTAAATAGGTTCTTGCCCAAGGCAGAGCTGTGCATGTCCTGAGTGTATTTTCTGCATTAGCAACAAGATACAGATAGCCCCTCGCTTGCTTCTGCCTTTGAGTAATAAGGCCACAAGCACTGGATTGACAGGGAATGGAGAAGTGGGCTTTATAGGACTCAAATGGACTGGGCTGGTATGTTAATGAAATTGCGCTTTTCTGTTTGAGAGCAGTAATTCATAATCATCTCAGAACTGCCGAGAAAAGGGAAAAATGGAGAATGAACCCTTTTTCTCTACTCTTGCTTGATTTTGTCTTCCCTGCTCTCTGTCCCTTTTATCTTCTCCAAAAAGAAACTATAGCACTACTATTTTTTTTTTTAAAGGAAGGTAGCAAGAAGAGTAGCCCAGTGGTTGGGAACATGAACTCATATTCAAACTTCCTGATTTTGAATCTTAATTCTGTCACTTACCAGCTTTGTGACTTAATGCGAGTTGCTTGATCTCATGTGCCTTGGTTTCTTTGAGTGATTTCATTATGCCTCAGTTTCTTTATCTAAAAAGCAGGGAATAATAATAGTACTTACCTCATAGGATTGGTCGTTTTTGTAAGGTATTAGATATACTGAAAATGCTGCATAACTGTTTTAAACCTCATCTAGATGTGATGTTGCTTTCACAGTTTTCATACTTGCAGATTTTTTTCTTTTTGATGTGAGTGACTCTGGCCACTAAATCTTCCTTTTTTCTTCAAGGATCAAATTGATTTAAAAAAAAAAAAAGGAAGAGAAATAATAGTAGATGTGTTTCCAGGTCTTCCTTTTTGTGATTGATTTTGAAAATTACCAATAAATCCAGTAAAATACCATCAGATTTGTCACCCTCAGACACATCTTGTATTACATTATTTACTTAGAAATTAGTGTATCCTTACAAAATTCATGTCTTTAGTTTAACCACAGAGACCTTATAACTTGGTTCTAAATTATGTTTTCGGTGTTAATTTCAAACACATTTGTTGTTTCGGTCTCTCACCTCAACCTTGCTCTTCTAAGGTGGTACTCTTATCATGAAGTTGACTTCAGATCTGCCCACGTATAGGTTCTGTGAATATCTCACCTTCTACTAGTTCTGCTTATCCACCTAGTCACTGATATATCTGGACAGCCTCTAGCTTCCCCTGCTGGAGTAGGCTCTGAAAAAGTCCCCTTGTGCTGACCAGCAAGTCTGAAAGAAGCAGTAGTTTGTTTTAAAATTCAACAATTAAATAACTTCTTACTCTTGAGTGAGAAAGGTAGGAATGGTATTTTAGCAGTCTTTCCACTTGCAGGAAGAAGCCAGGGAAAGAAAGGCTCCCCACAAACTTGTCCAAACAAAAAAATACTGTTAATTTTTTCCCCTGATAAATAGATTTCTTTATAGGCTCTTCAGTATGTATGGCTTATTCCCATCTTTGTGTGACTACCTACATTGATGCTGTACTCAAATCATCCATATCCTACTTGCATCCCATCCATCATGAAACAGTCATCAACCAGGCCCCCTGAGTAGCGCTCCTATGACATGTGTGTCATGTTTTTTCCTACTCAGATGGTTTTAGTCTCTGTCATCTACTGTTATTTGTTTAACAATTGTAAGTATAGATGGTCCTCCATATCTGCAGGGTGTGTATCCTCAGATTCAACCAATTTTGGATTGAAAAGATTTTTTAAAAATTGTGTCTGTACTGAACATATACAGACTTATAAAAACTTGTCATTATTCCTAAACAATACAATGTAACAACTAGATATGTAGCATTTACAATTCAGTTAGGAAATCTAGAGATGGTTTAAAGTGTACAGGGCCAGGCACTGGTGGCTCACACTTGTAATCCCAGCTACTCAGAAGATAGAGATCAGGAGGATTGCGGTTTGAAACCAGCCCGGGCAGATAGTTTGTGAGACCCCCACCATGAAAAAACCTAACACAAAACAAGGACTGTTGGAATGGCTCAAGTGGTAGAGCACCTGCCTAGCAAGTGTGAAGCCCTTGAGTTCAAACCCCAGTACCACTGAAAAAAATAAAGTGTACTGGAACATGTGCATAGATTTTATGCAAATACTGTAGCATTTTATATAAAAAAACGAGCATTCTTGGAGTTTGATAGTAGTAGGACGGGATCTGGGAGCCGTTCTCCTGTGGATACTAGAGGAAAGACTATGTGTAGATTTACTCCAATAATTGCAGACTCTTTAGAGACCGAGATCAGATCTTATATTCCCTTTAACCTCCACTAAGTCTAGAAGATACTTTTTATATATCTTATATGTGCATGTATTTAGTGAATACTTGTTGATTAAAAGAAAATATTAAAAGATTCTTCCTTCCCTATTTGACAATTACATTTTGATTTTCAGTATTTAGAAATGATGGAATTAGATATAGGAGATGCCACCCAAGTTTATATAGCATTCTTGGTTTACCTGGACCTCATGGAGAGTAAGTTGATACTGCTTTGTTCTTGGGGCTGTGGTGAGGGTTTGGGGCGTTGGGTTGGGATATAGCATTATTGACATAATCAATCACTTTTGCATTTGCTATTTTGCCGGTTAATTTTGTATTTGTATTTTTCATTCATTTACATTGGGAATGATTAGGTAGCAGACGACTAAAAAAGTAGAGAGGAGTAATATTATAAGTGCTGTTTGCTCAGCTGAGTATTAGGTAAAAGTTTGGAATTTTTGTCTTTTTTTTTTTATAAACATTATTGTCCACTCAATGATGCTCTTTCAGGTAAAAGCTGGCATGAAGTAAACTGTGTGGGATTACCAGAACTACAGCTCATCTGCCTAGTTGGTACTGAGATAGAAGGGGAAGGGCTACAGACTGTGGTGCCTACACCCATCTCTGCTTCTCTCAGCCATAACAGGTGAGCAGGTGATTTTGGTCTTAGTTTAACACATTCTTAAAGAAGAAAATATTTATATTCTTGGTAAAGAGGCAAGATCTTTCTTTACACTTAAAACAACGGATATTATAAGATGTGATACAAATCATAACTTGCTATTCAGAGTTGACGAAGAGTACAGTTAACATGCAAGTTGAAGAAAGCTTCATGTAGCTTGCGAGATCTTTCCTTTTAAAATTGTAGTTTCACAGAATTAAACATGCCTTTATTTTCATGACACACATTATTAGCTCATGCCTGTCTTTTACTTACTTACTTACTTACTTAGCTATTAATAATGAGGTAAGTATAGTTAAGCCCACCACCCAAACCAAAACTAGATTCCCAACAATAACTGACTTCTAATTTTATGGATCCACTCCTTATCCTGCTTCCACTGTCTACAGTAACTGTTGTCCTAAGTCCCGTGCTCATTAGGAATTGCTTTACAAAAAGATAGGTAATCTTTTGAGGCTCATCTTATAGATTAATAGTGATAAAAATTTGTTCATTGAACATCTTGGGGGCTGCTGTATAATATTCCTTAGTGTGATTATGCCATGGTTTTCACAGCCAGTCTTCTGATGATGGGGTGTTCAGCTCTGGAGGATAATTTCAAACTATTTCCAAAGTGGTTGCCTCAGTTTACTTTCTGGAAGAAATGTAAACAAGGTCCTTTGGAGTTGTATTGTCTCCAACATTTGGTATTGTCAGACTTTTTAATCTTTGCCAGTTGAATGGATTATCTCATTATGGTCTTAATTTGCATTTCTCTGATGACTAGTGATATTATATGTTTCTATATTTCTCTCTTAAATGCCTATTCATATCCTTTGCTTGTTGGGTGTTTGTGGTTTTCTCATTAATGTGTATGAGTTCTTTATATGTTCTCGGCAATCTGTTGGCTCTGTTTTCCAGTTTTCAAATTTGTCCTTTTCTGTTTTTCAGGTATTTCTAGTGAATAACTTCTTAATAAGCATATTTATCCATCTGTTCTTTTATAATCAACATCTTTGTGTTAAAGTAAAAAAATATTTTTGTTTAATGGTGTAAAAAATTTTAAACTGTATTTTCATTAAGAGCTTTACAGGTTCTTAGTTTTTTTGATGGTGTAGAAGGGGTTAGGGACCCAGCTTTCATATATGTGACCCTTTCACCTCCATTTCAAACAGTCTCTCCTCAGTCATGTGTAGTAACACATGCCCATAATCCCACCTGCTCAGGAGGTAGACATTGGGAGGGCTGCTGTTTGAGGCCAGGCCTGGGCAAAAACTTGAGACGCTATCTGAAAAATAACTAAAGCAAAAAAAGGACTGAGGCATGGCTAAGGTGATACAATGTCTGTCTAGAAAGCTACTAGAAAGCTATTGGAAAACAATAGCTTTTCCAGATTCTACACATGCATTAATTTGTTTGAGGGTTTTCTACTGTATTCCATTAATCAGTTTATCTATCCTTGTTCCAGTACTTCATCTTAATTTTTTGCTTCATGAAAAGTGTTAGGATCTGGTGAGCAAGTCTTCCTTCCTGCTTTTCTTTAGAAGCTGTGGCAGACAGCCTCTAAGATGGCTTCTTCTAACCTGGCCTTCTGGTTTTCATGCCCTTATGTAATTCTTTTCCCTTAAGTGTGGCCTGGACCCAGTGACTTGCTTCTAATGAATAAAATTTGTCATAAATGATGGGATGTTGCTTCCAAAATTAGGTTATAAAAGATGATGACTGTCTTGGCACTCTCCTTCTTGCTCTGGGGAAAACCAGCTGCCGTGTGAGCTATCTGACAGAAAGACTGAGAATAGAAAAGAAAAGGTGATTACTGATAGATTAAGATTATGGAAAGATGGGGAGGGAGGCATTCAAGTGTATAGTTGAAGCGTATAATATTGAGCTGGAAGCAGCATACCTCAGGAGTAGGGTGTAGGAAGAAAGGATACATACATTACTACGCTCGGGTGAGCATGTAAGTGGGGTAGAGGGCAGAACACCTTAAATTCCAGCATGAGTGGCTTTGAGGAATACCTTTTTTTACTAGTTCACTGTGACTAAGTGCATAGTGATTTAATACTAGCACTTAATATTTTTGTTTGATGATTGACAACATAGTTAATGTCTATGGGTTTTAGATTACCAGTCTATGACATGTAAGATTCCTTCCAAATTAAAATTACTGTAATTATTTTCATTGTGCACATTCCAATAAGGTGTAATGAACTAACTTGCAGACTTTTATGAAATATTTTTGTACATATGATTCATAATGGAAATTGTTTTTTGATATGTGATGCTATTCTTGTGCTTCTTTGAGTGGCTTTCACTGTGAGTTTTTTCTGTCTTTGAGAATCACAGATAGTTGATCGAGTTGACATCAGATTTGATCACTAGAACTTTCTGGATTTTATTGGCATGATTTCCAAGCCTTCTCACATCTGAGAGACTCTTAATTAATTCCTTAGAACTCATCCTTTTTGTCTTTAAATTACTAAAACAATAACTGGTGTTATTGTTATGTTATTTGTTTAGGCAAGTAACAACTCTTTGAAATTAACCTTAAATAAAATCAGTAGTCCGTTTTAATCAAAATGATTTCAGAAGTCTGGAAGTATAAATTTGTGTCCACAATTCTAGTATTTTTTTAACTAGTAATTAATGCCTTTCTAACTTCATTAGCTTCAGCTTATTTTCTTCTTTAAATAGAGTTAGTTGGGATGATAACTTGATAGGCCATTTTTATGCTCTTGCATTCAATAATTCAGAGGGTTTAAGTCTTTGTGTCTTTTCTTTATATAAATATTAATAACTATAAAATAGAATAATATATAAAATATCACACACAAAGTCTGTATGCACTAGATTTAGATTTATTATGCCTTTTAGATCCTAAAATTTTTCTCAACTCAAACTATACAGATAACTTTTTAGCAAATGGAGATTTGTGCATGTGATTTCATTCCCCAGGAGTGATGTTTTTAAGTTACAGGCATACTTTTATATGGTTTTTACTTCTAATGTAGCTTTCAATAGAAAATATTATGTATCTAGCAATAATGCTGCAATTTCAGACTTTTAGCGCTACTGTGGGAACTTTCCTCCATTAGTAATACAGAGAAGAAAATTACTGATTTTCAGTAGTCTTGTACTTGGGTGGGAAGATACAACAGTAGCTCATCATGACTGGAAATACACATTTTTTTACTTAAGATAGCAAATATTTTTTGCTTAGTAATAAAGCACCACAAAAATAAATTTACTCTGTGTTCACTTTTTAATATCATTTGTCAGATAATATTGCCTAGAATTTAAACTTTTAGCTCAATAAGTTCTTTTGAGAGACTCCTAGGTGTCAGTGATCTAAGTGCTAGAGTTACCATGTTGATCAAGGCTTATTCAGGAAGATAGTATTCTAGCACTGAATGTTAGTTTAGAAAATACATTTTATTTCTTTTTTGGTAATTGTTGGATGAGATCTAGCAACAACAGAATTGTCCTTTGTTCAGATACTTTATTAAACGTGTGGGGATTATCTCCACTTGTTTGATTACTAGGTAACTGAATAACAAAGCTAATGAAGTACTGACAGGTACTTAATAGGGACATGTAAAAAGTCAGGTCAGGACCAAGGGGAAGGACAGGAAAAGTCTCCCCAAGGTGGTAAAGAACCACGGTCTGGTAGGCTACTGAAAGTAGTTAAGCAGACTGCCTGCCTAGCATGGTATCTAGTAAGAATAACTGCTTAAGAATATTTCTTAAGGCAGTGAAGAGATGATGAATAAATTAGAACTCAGAAGAAAAGAGGGAAGGATGGAAATGAGGCAGGAAATCTTTTTTAAATTGTGAAGACTATTGCTATTTTCACTTTTTTTGCTATTGCAAGCAGTACTCTAATGAATAGCACTGTAAGCATCTCTTTGTACTCATAGCTTCCCTACAAGTAGGAGCCTAAAGATGGGATGGCTGAGATACAGGGCATTTATGACTACATGTTTAGGTTATTGCCAGCGTTCTTCAAAAAGATTGCTATCAATTTGCACTCCCACTAGCAATATATAAATTTTCATATAATAGGAGAAGAGACATGCCATGTGTATAATTGGTAAATACTACCACAGGCTCACACCTGTATTCCCATCACCTTGAGAGGTAGAAATAGGAGGATCGTAGTTTGAGGCCAGGCAGGAAAAAAATGTTAACGAAACTCTCTCTTAAAGAAAGCCAGGTGTTGTGGCACACACGTGTAATCCCAGCTATGTGGGAAGAGGCATAAGTATGATTGCAGACCAAGGCTGGCCCAGGCAGAAAGCACAAGACCTTATCTTAAAAAATAACAGAAGCAAAAAGGGGTAGAAGCATGGCTCAAGAAGACCCTGAGTACTCCATTACTACCAAAAAAAAAAAAAAAAGATTAATTCAGATTAAATAACTAGTTTTTATGACTCACAGAAAAAATGATCCAATAGAAAACATAGGCAAAGAATACAAACAGTTCATACAAAATATACAAATCTATTTGTAACCAAGGAAATACAAATAGACAGTATGTCTTAACTTTATAGACACTCCTGACATTTTCTGTTTTTATTGTTTGACAAAAAGAAGGTATTTAATTTATGGGGAACCTTTGAACAGGGCTACAGCTAGCACACAGAGTGGTTTTGAGCAAATTAGAAAAAGGTGCTTCCTCTGGGCATATGAAGAAAAAAGTCTCTTCACCAGAATTCATGGCTTGGCATTTAGTGAAGGCCAGATTTCAAACCCACTCACGCCACATTCTCTGTACAACTGTACTTGATGCCCTTCCCCTGCAGCATGTCTGCTGAGTCCTGGGTTTCCACAAATAACACTGTAAAATGTGTTGGTAAGGTAATGAGCTTTAAGTAGGGAAGTGATACTATAGAATGTGCTGATAAGTGTACTCTGCATTTGTACAGAATGTATACAGAACCTTCACAAGTATACTCTCATCATCACTAAAACCAAGTGGTATATGA